AACGAGAGAAGAAAATTTTTCTTATAATCCTAAGAGAGGAAAAACGCTCCGATACCATATTAAGAAACGTAAGATGAGATTCGAATAACGAGCTATAACATCTTGCTCTTTCTCATTTACCCATTTGATATATATACAACAAGGATATAATCCTCTACATCTCACAAACTAAAGAGTTTGTTATAACAACTTACTAACAACTAACTACATAACATTAATTAACTAATTAATTATCTAAATATATTTATTCTCTTACTAATTCTCTCTTAAATATTTGCTCAATAAAAGTGTTAACGATAAACTTTTATTAAGTACTTCTAACATCTAAGAAAAAAATAACAAATAAAAGATAATTCATGTTTCATTTTTTTTAAAAAAATTAAATTATAACTAATTTTATATTATTTAAAGGAATGAAATATTATTATTTATTTATTTAGCCTTAAAACTATTTGAAAAACTATTAAGTTGAAATTAAGAGTTAAAATTTATCTCTTCTTTCTTGAATTCAAATACTGAATGTTTTATCTTTTGAACAAATAAATAATTATCAATTCCACTGGTTTTTTATGCAAAAAAAAAAAAAAAATTGTCTTTTAAATTTTACAAGATTGGTTGTAATTTTTTTTTTAACATGTCACATCAATTATTTTCTGATTAAAAAAATTTGACTAGATATTTTTATTAAGCAAGTATTTAAAAAATATATTAAAAAAATGTTGTTTGCATTTCTCTTTAAATAATTTAATACAATTTGTTCCGAAGCATAATTAAACACCACAAGGAAAAAAACAGGGATATGTAGAACAGGGTTCGAACCGGAGCCATGGGTATAAGGGAGAAGTACATGATCACCATCAAGTTAAGAGTTCGTGAAACGGAAAGGCCTAAGGCAGGCCGACCGACCGACCCTGGTTTTTTTTTTATCGAATTTACGAAAATTTAAATGCATGTAGTCAATTCCTTTGAAATTAAATATTTGCCAAAGTCAAAATGATGGAAACTTAAAAAGAGTCCACGGAATGGGCGGCCAAGGTAGTTGTCGAATAATCTGCCACTTTTTTTAAAAAATTAATTACTGTAAAAAAAAAAAAAAAGGTACAGGAAAGAATCAGGCGATCTCCTTCAAATTCTAAGACTACAAAATCCGGTTATCAGACGGTGGGTCCTATAAGATTGCCACAAAGAACATCATCAACTATGCATGGTCGTTCACCAACCAATTAAGGGCCTAAAAGAAGGCCCGGGCGTTAGAGGGTGTTTTTGGTCAATTTAAGATGGCTCCTCAAAAGCCAAGAAAATGCACAGTAACACGAATCTATTTTTTTACTAGTGCATTCCTAATATGGGGGTTAATTATTTAAAAAGCTTTTGAAAAATGTCACTATCCCTCAATTTTCGAAAAGCTTTCATATGACCAGGAGTCAAAATCATGATCAACACACCGGTTTTGGCACTTTTTGTTTCACTCTAGTGTTCCCTTGACTACCAAGTTTAATCATCTCTTTAAAATCAAGTGTTGTTTTGTTGAGTCGTTTTTGTCAAGCAAACAATCGATAACCATTCCTAACAATATTTGATTGGACTTTTTTTTAATAACTCAAGAACTTAGTGTCATTTAATTGCCTTTGATGAGTCTGCATTAATCAGAAGTTTCAAAACCTCTATATTTTTAAAATAAAAAAATACATAATTTTATAATTACTACGAGAACATATGTTAAGTGAAATTTAAACTTTTAATTTTTCGATTATAGTAAATTCTTCAATCAGTCATCCTTTTTTTTTTTTTTAAATTTATGAAAATGCATGTAAGTATATCTGTCAGATACCTGAGTTAGCAATTAGAGATTCAAATTAATCTCATTGATCCGATACTTTTATCTATGAAAGTTCACGTTGTTTTTATGCGTACATATAATTTCTTTTAAAACAAATGTTTTGGGAGAGGATAATTTTATAATATACAAGGAGTAATTAGTAGCATGTACAATAGGTACTCTTGGATCCACTTTAAGGAGAGAGATAGACATATCAAAAAGAGAGAAATTATATCTATACCCATCAAAAGTGATAAAAAGGTTTTCACGTCCGCTTAAATTTTTTTATTTTCTCTCTTCTATTTTTCTCTTTCTCTTTTTGTGTGTTTATCTCTTTCCTCAAAGTGGATCCAAGGAGTAATCGCTATATATGTCACTAGCTACTCCTTGTGTATTATAATTTTTTTTGACTTTATATTTGAAAATTGCCTTTTCTCCGTAAACTATGTGAGAATTTTTGCTACAAACACAAGTCTAGCGACTAGTTTTATTTATGATAGAAATTCTCACCAGCATCTTTTATGTGCTCTTTTATTAAATAATTTTCCCAACAGATATTTCACGAAAACAATATTAACAACAATTGATTTTAAAGAGAACAATATTAATCTCCTTTATAAGCATGGTCAGAGACGAAAACAATATTCACGAAAATATTCTCCCACCCAATACGAGGTGAAAATAAAGTTTTGTGAAATATTTTGATTAAAAAAGTTAATTTTAGTTGTATTTTTTTTTCAAGAGGTCTCAAATTGAAACACTTCTTTTATGATGAAATTTTTTTTTTCTTGAAGCTCAACAATTAATTATTTATCACTAATTTGCTCGTCCATTTTACATAAAACTGAAAAAATAAAATAAATCAAGTACCATATGTATCATCTGAATTTTTTCTCTAACGTATTGTTTAAAATCATGATGTTTCTGTCACACACATCACGAACTAAGAACCTTCAACTATACACACACACACACACTTAAGCCCTAGTCTTCCTTCACAGTTCTTTGTTACTTCTCTTCCCGTTTTTTCCTTTTTGAACAACTTTTATTTATTTCGCCCTACATAAAACTGAAATGATTCAAAATCTAAATTCGACGTTTCAAATTAACTAAGACTTGGACATGTTCACCAGATCACTCATGAAGACGTGGGCATATTTCTAAATGACTTAAACAATAGATTTATAGTTAAATGGAATTATCAAAATAGATGAGATTTCAAGTTTATATCTCAACTCAAGTTCGCCAATTCATGGCTAAAAACAAAACCCTCAAATGACTCTAGCCTTTTCATCATTAACCTAACCACCTCCTCGATTCCCTTTTAACCCCTCATGACAAAGAATCCTTAACTTTCTACTCATGGGACAAATCCATAAGACCCCAGGTTTCAGGTACAACCTAAATATCGTGAATTTTCCTTAGTCCCTAGATTTCATGGAAAAAAAAAACAAAAAATCAAATTTCCAATTCACTAAAAATCCCAAGAGATTACAGGTAGGCATTTGGTTTCTCCTAAGCAGTACATTGTCCTCGTTTGTCTCCAAAAATCTGAGCGGGATAAACGGCACCGTATCCTCCAACCCATGCAGTACTCTCTCACTGGCTCGACACAAAATCTCTACTCTCTTTTTCATCAAAGCGGAAGTTACCTACCCTACCCCTGCGCTTGCGTTGGACTAAAGTACACCCCGCCGCTTTTTTGACCACCACGTCACTCTCCATCATAGGCATTTTCGTCATTTAAGATGTCCCCACCTTAACCTTCACAATGTGCCGCGTGTCGGTTACCACGCGCTACCTAAACGTGCGCCCCCTCCTTCCTTCCCTAGCCTCAAAGCAGAAGTACAGCATAACTCAAGAGCGTGAACTCTTCTTCACAACTACCGAGGATTTTGAGCTGTTTGGCTATCTCTTAATTACTTTCTCCCCCTCTCTTTTCTTGTAAGTTTTTTATTTTTTATTTTTAGGAAAACAAATAACGGAGTTAATAACCCTTCACTGGAAGTGCAAAATAAGTTATAAATTTTATTTCTAGAAAAAGAAAAAATCTATGTTATTAATCACTTGTATCGTAAATATAAATAAATGAGTGAAAATAAAAAAAACATTCTCTTGGGGTCACCCAAAATTTGGACTATTATTATTATAGAGATTTTTAACCCTTCTTATCTTATGATAATGAAAAGATTTCACTTATCTTTAAAAATATACTACATAGTATTTATTAATAAATATTATTTTCCAAACAAGTTAAATCTCCACATAAGACAAGGTGGAGCATATATGATCATTATAAATTTAATTTTAAAAGTTACGACGATTTGATTTTTTTAAATTAGGACGACGAACTCAAATTTTTATCAAACTACTCAGTAAGTTTTTAATATATTTCGTTCGTAAGACGTTAAAAGAGTAGGAGAATTATATTTTAGAAACGTCTTCTCAACATTTTCCTTACACTGTAACTCAAATCTTATTTTTCCCTTACTAAGAGAAAAAAAAAAACACCCTGATATTCAAATGAAGCACCAAACAAGTCCTTTAGAAAAGTAAAAATGAAAAATAAAAAAAGTTACACTTAATCTGAATATTATTGTAGACTTTTCTAATAACCCAATAAAATAATAAGAATATAATAATGGTGCTTAACTTTTTCATTTATTTTTCCTTTTTTAACAATATTTCAGGAGAATACATGCTCTCTCACCAACTAAAACCCTGCCCTTTTTATTTATTTATTTTACATTTAATTTAATTTTTTCATACAAGTCCCCCTTTTTGTTTTCTCAGCTTTGACTATCTCCGTACTGTATTTTATTTTTACAAAAAACATCTAAAGAGAGTCTCTCTCCCCTTCCGTTTCTCTCCCCGACACCCCCACTTCTTCTCGCCGGAATCGTCCCAATCCGCCACAAAACCGACTTCATTCACCGTAAAAACCGCTCTTCGCTCTTTGGCCTTCTTATTCAACAGTGACGATCACCGGCTTTGACTTATTTTTTTCGGTGGTTTTAGAGAGAATTATAGATCTGTAAAGAGCTGATTTTTTGGTTAGAGAGAGAGAGAGAGAGAGATGAGGGGTATTGATGTGAAGAGGAAGTAGATGGTATATGATGAACGGAGCTCCGGTGAGCGATCGGAGAGGGAGGTGGTGTTTTTGTAAATATTTTCACATGGAATGGCAGATCTTGTTAGCTACGGTAATGCCGAACGTGACATCGAGCAGGTACCTTCCTCTCCCTCGACCCACGCATGACTTTAATTTGCGTCAAAGTTAGGATTTTTTTTTTTGTTGAAAATTTTTGTTTTATTTTTTTTGCTTTCATTTTATCTTATTTATTTATTGATATTTTTAGGTGGGAAATGCCTTCGAATTTTTTTCTTCTTTTCTTTCTTTCTTTTTTCTTTTTTTCACTCTTGATGCCTATTTGGAGAAATGAAATGGAATTTTGTGGCACCTTTTAATGTATTGACAAATTTGGACTGAAAAAGTGGTTAATTTGAGGGTGTTTTGTTTGTTTTAGGGTTGTTGAATTCAATGTAAAAAATTGCATGGAATCAGGTTGGTCTATTTGAAAGGGTTGAATTCAATGTAAGAAATTACATGGAATCAGGTTGGCCTATTTGAAAGGAAGAGAACATAAAGGAGATTGTTTCTCTTGTTTTTAGTTATCCAATATCTGAGTTAAATTAGGCCACATATTTTGTTTGTTATGTTTGGAGTACAGTTGAAATGGGCCATAAAATGCCTTATGTTTCATGACCATTTTCATACATTTTTCTTTTCTAAACCTGTTAGTTGGCTATGGCTATTTTTAGCAATTGAAGTGGGGTTTGAAGGTGCATTTTAGAGGGAACAGAAAATAGGGAGAAGAAGTGCATATGTCTCTGCTTAATACCAAAACACTTTATGTTATGCCAAGAACAATAATGACCATTGATTTTGGACTTATGGTGGGATTTTTAAACAATAGCTTTCATCATATGTAATGACCCAAATCTGTAATTATTTGAATGTCATTGCTTGCAGCTTGATTCATTCACTTTATTTTGTAAACTTGTAAAGGATAAGATCAGTTTATAAGATGGGGTGTGTTATGGTATCTCTGTTCTGTTAAGAAGATTCAATAACAAGTTATAATTAAAACAAGCAATAATATGCTTCGAAAAGTTCTACCTGTGAGAAATCTCAATAAGCATGTTGTGCCAAAATTGGAAAACAATGAATTAAAATCAAAACTAGCACTTTTATTTGGTTGTTTCCGAGCCCATTCCAATATGAACACTAGTTGGTGAATATTTATCTTTTTTAAGTCTTTCTGATATGAGCCGAAACTGAGACTGATTGATTCAACAATCTTAGCAATAATATAATGTCCACATGCCAATTGTATAATGCCAGTGGTTGTAAATCATCTTTCTGCATTTTGCAGGCATTAATTGCTTTGAAGAAGGGTTCTCAGCTTCTGAAATATGGTCGTAAGGGAAAGCCTAAGTTTTGTCCATTTAGACTTTCTAATGTAAGTTTGATTCTTGAGCATTTGACCAAGGATACTTCCAGTTGTTAGTGCTTTACTCATTTTCAGTTTAACTATTAAAGGTAATGATTTTATCTTAAAACAAATGATGCTTTCCAATGTGAAGTGCATATCTATATGCTCAGTTGCAAATAGCTGGATAGAATTCTTTATGTTTTGATCATATTTTTAATGTTAAAAACAGTAACAAGAACACTAAAATTGCTCTCATTACTTTGTTCTTTTTCTTTTTGATTCATTATGTTCTACATATGTGAACCACTGCTGTGGCTTAGGATATTTTGTTGTTGGTAGTTGCCACAATTTTTCAGTTTGCAGCTTAAGTGATGTTTATAATGGTTGTCATAACATTCGAGGACGTATACATATTGGTCATATGGTTGGATGCATATGTGATATGGCTGTGAAAAATAGATATATCATATCAGTTATGGGATTTTTTAATGTCTCGCTAGTTGCTACTTATTATTTGCCCAAGACCTGCACATCCTTGTCTACTGCAGTTTGTTATCGGTTAGTATATTGTCTGTGTGGTGTTTCAGTGAGCAACTATATTGCCTGTAGTCAAATGCTTATTGAACCGATCAGTATGCTTCGTGAAGAATCACACGTTGTCTTGCATACAAGTTATCTTATGTGTTCTACATTTGCTCTTTTAGTGTGTTGTCTTCTCCTTGATGATTACTTTCTTAGGTTTAATATGATATAATTTGTGGCCTTGTCATTAAGTTTGCAGATCGCATGCTTCTCTCCTCTCTCCCTCTCCCTGCCTTCGCTTTTTAACATGCTACTCTTCTTATGTTTAAAAAATTGCAGGATGAAGCAACTTTGATCTGGATTTCAAGTAGCGGTGAAAGAAGTTTGAAGTTAGCCTCAGTCTCAAAAATTATTCCTGGACAAAGAACAGTGAGATTTGTGTATCTCTTTCATATCTGTTTTACTCTGTTAGCATAGCATAGTATATTTAACGATTCTCATATTGTATATTGTGGATAAATTCTTTCTATTTATTTCCTCTAAAATATGCTATCAGGCTGTCTTTCAACGATATCTCCGCCCTGAAAAGGACTATTTATCATTTTCTCTTATATACAACAACGGGAAGCGGTCCCTTGATCTGGTTGGTGATGAAGTTGTGAAGTTGTGTTTTTCTTCTCCTTTATCTGCTTAAATTGTGAATCTTATATATCAATGCTTTCAGATTTGTAAGGACAAAGTTGAGGCAGAGGTGTGGATTGCAGGCTTAAAGGCATTAATATCCTCTGGTCAAGGTGGTCGCTCCAAAATTGATGGATGGAGTGATGGAGGCCTCTACCTTGATGTAATTCTACCTACTTAAACTGTAGTTAATATTCCTCTCACAGATCCTCTTCCTCTTTCCCAACCTATCTGACTCTGGAGTTATGTCTTTTTTCATTTGTTTATTACATTAGTGATGCTATATTCTTGTATCAGTGCAAATACAATAATTATGAATGTTGTTTCCTAATAAAGCTTCTGTGTATTGTCTGACATCGTAATTTCTGATTTCAGGATGGCAGAGATTTAACGTCAAACAGTGCTAGTGACAGTTCTGTTAGTATTTCGCGAGATATTAGCTCTCCAGAGGTTTCTGTCAGTTTTAACCCAAACGCTTCTCCGAAGAATTTTCGGCCTGAGAGTTCTCCGCATTCTGATCGGTCACATGTAGCATCAGAAAACACAAATATGCAAGTCAAAGGATCTGGTTCAGATGCTTTTAGAGTTAGTGTTTCCAGTGCTCCCAGCACTTCCAGTCATGGTTCTGCACCAGATGATTGTGATGCTTTAGGTGATGTATACATATGGGGTGAGGTCATATGTGATAATGCAGTCAAGGTTGGGGCTGATAAGAATGCCACTTATTTGAGCACTAGAGCTGATGTGCTTCTTCCCAGGCCCTTAGAATCTAATGTAGTTTTAGATGTACATCATATAGCTTGTGGAGTCAAACATGCTGCAATGGTCACAAGGCAGGGTGAAGTTTTTACATGGGGTGAAGAATCTGGTGGAAGGCTTGGCCATGGTGTTGGGAAAGATGTTATTCAACCTCGCCTGGTTGAATCTTTGGCAGTGACCACTGTTGACTTTGTAGCATGTGGAGAATTCCATTCTTGTGCCGTTACAATGGCTGGAGAAATCTATACATGGGGAGATGGGACACACAATGCTGGTCTGCTTGGTCATGGCACTGACGTCAGTCACTGGATACCCAAAAGAATCTCTGGTCCTCTTGAGGGTCTTCAAGTTGCCTCTGTAACATGCGGTCCATGGCATACAGCCTTGGTGACATCAACAGGGCAGCTTTTTACGTTTGGTGATGGAACATTTGGTGTCTTGGGCCATGGAAACAGAGAAAATGTTGCATATCCAAGAGAAGTAGAATCACTTGCTGGGTTGAGGACAATTGCTGTTGCTTGTGGAGTGTGGCATACTGCTGCTGTGGTGGAGGTTATTGTCACTCAGTCAAGTTCCAGTGTTTCATGTGGAAAATTGTTTACCTGGGGTGATGGAGACAAAAATCGTCTTGGACATGGCGACAAAGAACCTCGGCTTAAACCCACATGCGTGCCAGCATTAATTGATTACAATTTTCACAAAATTGCTTGTGGACATAGTTTAACTGTTGGCTTGACCACATCGGGACATGTATTCACAATGGGCAGCACTGTTTATGGTCAACTTGGGAATCCTTATGCCGACGGGAAGGTACCTTGCTTGGTAGAAGATAAAGTTTCTGGAGAATCTGTTGAAGAAATTGCTTGTGGTGCGTATCATGTAGCAGTTTTGACCTCCAGAAACGAGGTTTATACCTGGGGAAAGGGTGCCAATGGCAGGTTGGGCCATGGAGATGGTGAAGATCGAAAAACACCTACTCTTGTTGAAGCTTTGAAGGATAGACATGTGAAATATATTGCATGCGGTGCAAACTATTCTGCTGCTATATGCCTCCATAAATGGGTATCTGGATCAGAACAGTCTCAGTGTTCGTCCTGCAGACAGGCTTTTGGATTTACTCGTAAAAGGCATAACTGCTACAATTGTGGACTTGTTCACTGCCATTCATGCAGTTCCAGAAAAGCAACGAGAGCAGCCTTAGCTCCTAATCCCAGCAAACCATATCGCGTCTGCGATTCCTGTCTCACCAAACTAAATAAGGTTTCAGAAGCTAGTAACACTAACAGGAGAAATGCTGGACCTCGCCTTTCAGGTGAAAACAAGGACAGGTTGGACAAGGCTGATTTAAGGTTGTCGAAGTCAACACTGCCTTCAAATCTGGATTTGATTAAGCAATTAGATAGCAAAGCAGCCAAACAAGGAAAAAAAGCTGATGCATTTTCTCTTGTTCGATCTTCTCAAGCACCTTCTATGTTACAGCTGAAAGATGTTGTTTTCTCCAGCGCTATTGATCTGCGACCCAAGGTTCCCAAACCTGTTCTTACGCCATCTGGAGTAAGTTCCAGGTCTGTGTCACCTTTTTCAAGGAGACCTAGTCCCCCACGTTCTGCAACACCTGTTCCAACGACATCAGGGCTTTCCTTTTCCAAAAGCATAGCTGATAGTTTGAAGAAAACAAATGAGCTTTTGAATCAAGAAGTGCTTAAGTTGCGTACACAGGTATGCTTTCTGAAGTTCCCAATAGTTAATCTCATGTTTCTGAATGAATTAAGCTAGGTTTTCTTTTGTTTCTTGTTCCCACAATAGTTGATCTCATGTTTCTGAATGAATTAAGTTAGATTTTCTATTGGGTCGTGTTTGATCATTGATTGGTTTGGATGGACTTAAATCTTGATGGGTATGGATCTTGTTAGGTTGAGAGCCTGAAACAGAGGTGTGAATTCCAAGAATTAGAGCTTCAGAAATCCGGGAAGAAGGTACAAGAAGCTATGGCAGTAGCTGCCGAAGAATCGGCTAAGTCCAAAGCTGCAAAAGATGTTATAAAGTCACTTACTGCACAGGTACTTCTGCTTTACTAACTGCTCATTGGTTCTCTGTTAATAAAATTTCAAAATTTCTCTTTCGTCTCTGCACCTTGATTATGGCATATGTCAGAATATGTACCTACCCTGTCAAATCTATAAGAATTCTTGAAGAAATAAAACACTGGTTCCCATTAATTTGGTTACCTTCTCCCATTTATAGTGATTGGAGAATATACTTGATTCCTTTTATAATATTATTTCTTTATTGTTGTTAGATATTTTCATATCCTTTCTTGACTTTTGTTTTGTATTAATGATTTCTTCACTAATAATTCCAGCTCAAGGATATGGCAGAGAGGCTGCCACCTGGGGTCTATGACACTGAGAGCATGAGACCGGCTTACCTACCAAATGGTTTGGAGACAAATGGCATTCATTATCCTGATGCAAATGGAGAACGGCATTCAAGATCTGAGTCTATAAGTGGAACTTCTTTGGCTTCCCCGACAGTAATCGATTCCACTTCAATAAATGGAACTCTAGGTTTCGCTCAATCATTCCGGGATTCACCTGGAACCAATGGGAGGGATGACCATCCGGATGCTAGATTGTCCAATGGTGGGGGAGGGGTTCAGCCAAGGGGTAATAGTCTGTCAGAGGCTGTTGATGGGAAGGAACCTCGGTCTCCCCGAGATGGCGAGAATGGTATGAAATCTAGGGATTCAGTAGCTAATGGTAATCAAGTTGAGGCTGAGTGGATTGAACAGTATGAGCCTGGAGTGTATATTACTCTTGTTGCCCTGCGTGACGGTACTAGAGATCTCAAAAGAGTGCGCTTCAGGTACTTATTTATTTCATTTTATTTTAGATATTAATGGTTATTCATTTTGTATGGCTTAGAAGTAGAAATCTAAACAGTTGGTTAAAATGACGTTGCTGATGAGCATTTCTATAAATTCAAGATTGCAATTTTATAAACAATTACATGAGCATCGATGGTAGTAAATCGATGTATCATCTTATGCGGGTTTGAAACATCTTAATCAAAGCTGATTTGATCTGCAATAAACAGCAAAATGATTAGTATGTCCCAACATGGTAATCATTTCATTTATGTCTTTTAGTATTAATTTATCTGCAGTCGGAGAAGATTTGGGGAGCACCAAGCAGAAACTTGGTGGTCAGAGAATCGTGAAAAAGTGTACGAGAGGTACAATGTTAGAGGTTCTGACAAATCATCAGTTACTGGCCAGGCAGCACGCAGATCAGAGGGAGGCATGTCCTCTGCTTCTCTACCTTAGCAACTAAATGCGGGAGGGAGGGAGTCTCTTGACACATTTTCTATCTTCAAACAAAGAAGGTTTTAATGTTAAGCAAAGATGAAGAAAGCCAATAGCCTCTTTCTATCGTCTTTTCTTTTGATGTTATCCTCCCCACCTCCCCCTTAATTTATTTCTTTTTTCCATTTAATTTCTTCCGGGGTATCTACCCTTTACATATCTGTTGTATTGTAGTGTATATAAAAGCATCAATTGTGACAATCTAGGCAAGAAAGTTTTTGTTCCTGGCTTTCCAGCCATGCATACTGAGTTTTGGGTCACGTGTTCTTTTATCTTGCTTTCTTGTTATGGGTTGGTTTATCTGCAGGATTTTTCCCTGGACCTTACCCTGCATTTCATTGTTTTAGATTCTTCAAATCAGATCATAGGCAACACAGCAAATGCCAATCAGTTACAGTTATCCCAGGTATACTGGCTTCGAATTTTGTGGTTTTGGCCATGGTATACTGAGCAGTTGGTACCTGAAAGCATTCTATTGAATGTTATTCATCTCTTTTCTAATTCAAACTGGTTGTAAATTGTAATGAAAATCATTTCTCCTCTCACCTTGGGTGTAGCTTTATTATTATTCAACCTTTTCATTTTTGGAATTTTTGTCGGCTGATTCACATTGGTTGCCTTGACCACTTCACGCATCGTAGCAAGATCTCACATGGCTGTAAAAACTGTGCATAGCTTGTAGAATCGCTGGGTACTGCAGAAACCAGAGTTTCGTGTGGATTGAGCGGTAAATTAGTATCGTAAATGCTCAGACCAGTGCCTTTAGTATTTCCTTGATTTCTGCTTCTGTCGTTCCCCAAATAAGGTTGTTCTTGGAGGTGCTTGTTCACTCCTTGTAACAATAGCAGCTGGCCTTGGGATGCGCAGAAAGTTATGTAGTAAAGTATGCATGGTATAGATTTGGATAAAGCTATAACATGGTGGTTTAATCAACATATTTTCCGAACTGAAACTGTGGCGTTGTAGGATGAAATCAAGCAACAATTTCTAAAAGTGGGGCTGGCTGAATTTACGCATAACTCAAAGATCAAAGAAGGTTAAACAACGCATGGTGACGCCAAAATTACATGTTATTTTGTTTTGTGATCGACCTAAAACTGGCCTAGAATAGAAGAACAAATAATTCTAGAAAGGTGCACGTGTTCCAATGAGGTTTTATTATTCACTAGCCAGCAATATTGGAAAGTGCTATCTACTAGAATTAAACTGAAGTCAAATTATATTTTATGTGAACACAAAGAAGGGGAAATAGACGGGTGCCTTTTTATATTAATAAGAGCAGGATCTATACAAGCTAAACGTCATTAATTAGTCAACAAAATGGTACGTTTATTCCTCTACCAAGGAAAGTTTCAAGATTCAGAAGCTTTGCAAGGGTCCTCCTCCTTGTTCAACAAACCCACTTGAAATTTCCCTCCTTCAATGTCCAAACTTCTTCTTCTTCTTCTTTTTTTTTTTTAACGACCATTGACTACAGGTTTTCTTTGAGGCTGACAATTTCTCACTGGTCTGGTTTCACATGGTCCCTTCACTTCTCTCTCAACTAGGTTATACAATGATCGTTGTTTTTTTTTTTCCCTTTCAAGTAGCATAAACAAATCCATTTTGACCTTTTCTTCTACAAATGTCTCCATTGATAGAGATCCATGTCTGTTATGTCATTTTTAAGCTGGATAGTGAAAAATGTTCTCTTTAAAAGAACCCTATGCTTTATAAGCATTGTAAACCTATTCTATTCATATTTGCACACACAACATCTCGTTGTTTGACATTGTAATCAATTAATATGACGCCAAATAGATTTTAAATTGAATAGTTAACAAATAGAAGAAGCATAAAATATCTTGATAAGTATGAAAAGGAAATTACTGACGTATACATGGTCTAAAAAGTGGAGTACATCTTTGTGGGTTGTAGTAGGTATAGAAATGCAACGGAGTATGTACACACACACACACACACATATATATATATATATATATAATTCCATAACCAGTTCCTTTGAAAATTGAGGTATAGCAGTAGCTAGTTCTCTTCTGTAGACCAGAGAGGGAAGATAGCTAGTAGGCATGCGGCAGGCACCTCATAAAAGAAATCTTCCCACAATTAATTGTTACATCAGATCAATCAAAAGGAAGCATGATATTACGTCACCTTTACATAAATCATGAGTGTGGAAGGTCACTTTGATCAACAGTTCATTTCTTGCACGCATCCACAGTTTGTTCAGATCAGTAACACTAAAATTGATTATGAGGATCAGTCGAGCTCATATTAATTATAATAATAGCAGTATCAACTTTGTAAAATGGACTGGAAATATCGTAATGTACATACATAACAGAGGAACAACTACATCCCATGAATGATGAGCTTAAAAAATAATCAAAATTAACGAGGCTAATGTTTTAGAATGTCTCAGCAATTCTAAAAATTAAGAAGCTAGGCAGGCTTGAAGAAAGGAAGAAACATACTGCAACCTTGTTACAAATTTTTATAGTATTTGTTTACAAAAAATATTTTCTGTCAGTTTCGACTCAAACATCATTCTATTCCGCCCAGGAACAATATATCCAATTTCTAAAGCTATCTTAAAGTATCCTTCCAGAGAAGGAAAGTTTACACTAGATGATACCCCTGGGGTAAGCTTGAGCAATTAATCTTTGCTTTCTCATGATCATGAGATCTTAACAAAAATAAAAAATTTCCTCTCATGAGATGGAGCAAACAAAAGAGAAATGCCAAAAAGTTGAACAAATAACCCCACCACCAGTCCCTATATATTGATATACCTACCCTGCTTGTATGAGTAGTGAAAAAACAGTCGTGGATTCTTATATGTTCAAGGGAACGACTTTGAACTTTGTAAGCCGATGCCATTGTGCCTCTTCGAAGGACCAGATGGTGGGATCGGCATCCCCTTAGGCAAGAACCCCGAAAAAGTACTTGGTGATGAATTCTGAGAATTGGGCTTGATCATCTTGAAAATTTGAGTCTGCCTCGAGCCATAAGTATGACTAACAGAAGATGTAAGCAAGAGTACTAACCATACAGCTAGAACTAGATGATGACTCCTACCCATTTCACCAATCCAAAAAAAAGAAAAAAAAAACCAGTGTATAAGAAGAGAGAGAGAGAGGGACAGAGAATTCCAAAGTGGAGAGAGAGAGAGAGAGACAGAGAGAGGGAGGGGATTTGGTAAGCTAAAAGGTTTAAAGAGGAGAAGACTGATAACTACAGAAATCCATGCATAGGATATACTAGTAATAAATAATGAGTTTGGTATGCTGGCCGTATTGGGGGTGGCTTGTTTTCGAAGGGAATGGGTGGAGTGTTAAGACAAGTTCAAACAAAGAGGAAACGAGGAAACATGCGGAAGTAAATGCTGGGTCGTCATGTGCTATTATATTTGACCTATTGGGTTGTTTTCTGTTTATTGTGTTGGGATAAAATAAATTGATAGCACTAATAATAGTCTACGCATTAAATTTTTTATCGAGGGATTGAACCGGTCTTTAGGAAATGTGTCTGGAGCGAAATCAAACATCAAGGCCAAAAGCGTATTTTACAAAATGGAAGAAAAAGGGGAAAATGATTTGGGGAGAAAAAGGGGCCTGTGTAGCATAGTTAGGTGTCTGCGTGGGGCCATACCATACTTAATGGCCGACTACAGACTCGAACTGTTGTGTTAGGTTCCTCCAAAATAACAACATGGAAATTTGTCCCATTCCTAATCCTTTTAGACCCTTTATAGGCCTTTTGAGTACCTGGGGTCATCTCCTCTTTCACGACATACCCTATTGGCTATTCCCCTAGTTTAAAGGAGTGTCCTCCCAATCCGCACGTAGTGTTGTGTGAGTAATACCAAATCTTTTGTGTCTCTTTAATTGATAAATGATATTCCACTTTTTTTTTTTTTTTCTTTTTTTTGAATTGTTCTCCTATCTAGATTTGTGAAATGGGGAGGGTACGGAAACCCAACCGCGCAATAGATAGGACTAACAAGTGGGTGCGCTAAGATGACCCCACGTGCCGTGTGAGGAGATAGCAGAGAAAAACCAAGGGACAAAAGTGATTTTAAGGACAACATGATGGACAGTATTATTTTTGAAAAGCTGAAGGCTGAGCTGGTGAGTTTTCATTGGAAGGGAAATCAGGGAGTGAGTTTTTCGTTAGATTTGAAAGTTTTAAATGGTTAGTCTCTGCACGTGGACATAGTTTCTCAACACCAGCTGACTTTGGGTTTTTCCTCCATCAAATTATCATAACTTCAGTCAATTTTAGGTAAATGATCGTTTATGTAAATAGAAACACTTCATTTACTTTCGACTGAATGATGCAAAATTATCATCAGTTTTCACTCAAATTATGATCCTTTTTTAACCTTCTAAAATTTTAATTTAATTATTATAAACTATTTTTTTAATAAATAATAGATATATTCGACTAGTTTTTAACATGGATCGCACGTAAAGGTCACACGATGATTTTAAAAAATAAGACCTATAATACTAATTTAAATTTAAAACTTTAATATATGCATGAAGATGTTAGTTAGTAGTGCCGCTCAAGGATTGGTAATTCATAAGGTCAGAGTTACAACTGTTGTCGTGGACGGTTAACTTTGCTAATTTCTTCGTGACTTGTATTCATCTACTAGTAGTTTTGATACAGAATAACACTACTTTACAACATTGCCAATTTTGAGCTCATGAAATGCGTAGGTCGTTATGCGTTGTCAAACATATGGTGATAAATCACAACCTAGGTACGCTTAAAACTTAAAATGATAATGATGCTTATATAAGCCCAACATTTGTTGGGAACTAAACCTAAAAGGGGTGTGGTATCCAGGAGGGGGATGAATGAATTTAGAGCATATTGGGCCTAAGCATAGGAAGTTGAGGCTTGGAGTTTTGAGAGAATATTGGGCTTGCCCTTATGCTAGTTCGAGTTTCATTTTTTGAAACATACAGATTCCATCAAAGAATTGATTTTTATCAGTAATTTTATAAGACAATAGAAAGAATTCCCCCCCAAAAAAAAAAAAAAAAAGTATGTTCTAGTTGCACATATTATTAGATGGAATCCAAAAATATGTTAAACTATTTTTTTCATGCAAGACAACATTGTCTATTCTTTTCATCGACTATGCTCAACGTATGTTCCGTGTAATGGCTTTTTTTTTTTATTATTAAAGAATATAATATATCTCTTGTTTTATGAGTATTTTTGCAATTTTTTGGTGCTCTCAAATTGAAGATTTTTACACTTAGTAATTGAATCACTAAGATGCATATAAATGTTGATATTTCATGTGTATGAGATGTTTTTTAGAGTATTGAGAACCATTGAAGTCAATTTTTTGAAATTAAAGGAATAAGACGTAAGTAAAAAAAAATTAAAAAGTTTGAGGACTGATATAAACAAGTAAAAAAAGAAAAAGAAAAAGGACAAAAGCTAACTGAGCAAACCACATGTCAATAAAATGCCAGAATGTGAAATACCAAAAAACGGAAACACTGTTACTGAAGTGCAAATCGCTCACACCCCGCAGGGTAGTTTTTCACTCTTTTCTCGAAAAGAAAACGAACAAAATAAAGACATAAAGATCTACTCCGGAGCTTAAATCTGTTGTCGAAGAGCTGCCATATTTCAGTGCGCAGCTATTTCATCACCATACACAACTGTACCATCCACCATTTTTTCTGTTTGTAGCTACCTTGCTCTAATCCATATTTACCTAGGCCAATTTGATGATCCAAATAAGATGGTTTTTTTTTTTTTACAGCTGATTAGATCATTTCTTTTGACTCACACAGTCATACTATCAGAGCACACAAGTTGGTCGCGTCGGCCGGCTCAAGTGACCAACCAGGTGACATCTACGATTAATTGGGTGAATCCGCGTGAAAAATACTTGGTCAAAATGATAAAAAGTCTGTAATTAGCTGCTGCTGCTTCTGCTGCATTATCTTAATTATTACCAAGGGGTCACCTTTCATGAGGTCAAATAAACAGAATTATAGAAGAGATGGGGACATGGCAGAGAAAATAAAGAGCACCATCAGCTTGATCAGAAGAGTCGTGGTGGGAGTTGCAGGGATTGGCGAAAATCGCAAGTATAAAAAACAAGTTAGGTAATTGGTCAAGAGTCAAGAAGGCACACTAGTCCATCCTTGTATTATTGTAGATGCAATTTCCTGTCTAACTGAACGCATTATTTTCAAAGTTTCAAACACATACAACCTCTTGTCTACCTTAAAATTTTCTTTTGAGTTGAAACTTTTGCTTTCATATTCTTCAAATAATCCAATATTGTATTCACTCACCTAATAGTATCACCTAATAATAAATACCACATATATATTTACCGAAATAATAATAATAATAAAACACGTATGATAAATAATGGGAAACCAACTTGGACAACATCCTGGACTAATAGTAATAGTCTATCAGGTACAGATTTTAATATGCTAACGGAAGGCTCAAAAAGTCTACGCACTCCTCTCGTGATCATGACAAATAAACAATTTTGAGTAACTTATCATACGTAACTTAATTTGACTTCGTTTAATTCGTGATAAACTTGAAAAACACTCCCGTGGACTAGAAAAATGATGCAGTTCACACTTAAACTAATGAAAACACATGAGCATATTTCTTTATATCTCCATCTTACGTGAGAGATCCCCAAAATCTTTATTTTTTAGGTGGGAATATTTCTCTTGAAAGAGGACATTCATATATAATCTGTTCTGTTCAAACCTCAACATCTTTAAAACCTTTTTTAGGATTATTTCTAACAGAAATCCTAAGGGAAACTTGACTAATTCTAATCTACCATGCCCAAGCAAAATTGATTCAAATCTGTGAAGCATTTAAAAGGCTTTTTGAATAAAATTATTATATACTATAAAAATAAATAAAGAATAGAGTGGAGAAAAATACCTTGGACTTGGAGACTTGAAGGGGTAGGGGACCACCACAAGGAGAAGACTTCTACCGGTTACGCGGTGCAAACTGACATAAGTCCACAACCTGCTCCCTCCCTGTTCCACCTTTGTATCCCGTTCATTTCCAGTTCATCAATTTTGTTAAAAGAAAGAAAAAAAATTAAATTAAAAACTTTGACCAAGCAAAAAAAACGACGTTGCCCTTTGACTCCTCCTTCCCCTACAAAACCCCGCTCCCCTCTCCCCAATCTTTGCTTCTTTCTCTCTGGTTTTTTGTCAGAAAATAAATAAATAATAATAATAATAATAATAATAATGGGTAGAGACGAACTCTGCATAACCGTGCCCAGTCTCTTTCGCTGTCCGATCTCTCTCGACGTAATGAACTCTCCCGTAAGTCTCTGCACCGGCGTCACATACGATCGCTCCAGTATTCAACACTGGCTCGACTCCGGTCACGACACCTGCCCTGCCACTATGCAAGTCCTCTCCTCCAAGGACTTTGTTCCTAACCTCACTCTCCGCCGCCTCATCAACCTCTGGACCTCCACAGCCGCCGCTGCCCCCACAAAATCCTCTGCTCTCTCTCCAGCAGTTTCGGAAGAGAAAGTTAGAATTTGGATTGGAGAAATCAAGAGCGGAAAATTTGAGAGGTCTTTGGATTCAATTGTGCAATTGGTTAGTTGTGGAGAGGCGAACCGGAGGTTTTTGGTAAGTATTGATGGTTTTTTGGCGGCTATTGTTGGTGTTTTGAGCACAAACTGCGTGCAAACTCGTGTTTTAGAGTCGGTTATCAGGATTTTAAGTTCAAGTTTGGTTGAAAATGGAGTCAACGAGAAAGTGCACAAATTAGTCTTCATATCAAATGCTAATTGCTTACCTTCTTTTGTTTCTGTTTTGCGAAACGGAAGTTTGGAGTCCAAGATGGCATGCATCGCCGTTTTGGAATCAATTGCAATAAATAACGAATCAAAGCGATTCGTTACAGAAGTGGAGAACCTCTTGCCTGTTGTAATTCACCTAATCAAAACAGAGGACGACGACCAAGGGCTACACGATGTCGTTTTATCGTTTCTGATTTCGCTTTCTGTAACTCGCTCCATCAAGACTCAGCTAGTTCAACTCGGACTCGTTGAAGTTTTATCTAACATGCTGTCGAGCCAAAATGCTGCCGTTTCTGTCGTGGAGAAGTCACTGAAGATGTTGTCAATGATTTGCACGTGTGCGGATGGACGGTCAGCGATAAGCGTTGACCTGAAATGCGCGGGTGCAATAGTGGAGAGACTGATGAAGGTATCAAAAACGGCGACGGAGGATGCCGTGGTGGTGCTGTGGAGCATGTGTTGTCTGTTTAGGGATGAGAAGGTGCTGGAGAAAGTGGTGAGGAGCAATGGAGTGACAAAAGTATTGTTGGTTATGCAAAGTGAAGTAGGAGAAGGAAATATGAGGAGGATCTGTGGTGATTTGATCAAGATTTTGAGACTTAGGTGTAAGAACGGTGGTGGATTTGGTGGGGTGGGGAGTTACGAGACAAAAACTACACATATCTTGCCTTGTTAAATTGGAGATGGTGAATATGATGATCTCTGATGACTTTGATTTTGTGGATGATGTGAAATTGGGATTATTTTTTTGTAACTTTTTAACATTAACATACACATGAAAAGAACAACCACTCTTTTCCTTCCTTTTCTGAATAGAATTTGAACTTGTATTTCCAACGAAAATTTATACAATTACATGACTTAATGGTATGTTATTCTTGTTCCAGCACTACTTTCAATTTGGACATGGTTTTTTTTTTTTATATCTCTTCTACCTTTTTTCTTCAACTGGCCTCTGATTGATACGCTGTCATGAAAACAGAAACAAAAGAAGGATAAAACCATATCAAGTAGTTCCATCCCAATTCAGAGTGATTAATAGTTTGGCGCAACTATTTGGCTTAGATGCTTGGAAAAGAAAAAACTTTTTTGTGTTTAGACTCAATATCTGTTGTTTTGAGCAGTTACTTCGAGATATGAGAAAACGTTTGGGATTTCCTTTCTTTCTCTGGTGTCACTTTTTTTCAATTTGTATTTGTTGCTTTGCATCAGTGGGATCGCTTGGCGAGAAAATAACACCTGGTAATACTCCTTTCTACAATTATTTGGATGAATATTCATGATTTGCATTTTTCTTGACTGAAAACAATAATATATAACCTGAAGCATTGTTGGCTTCCGTTGATGCACTGTGTCTGAGTGTTCAGGAATGAGGATTGGGAAGGAGGGTTTGTAGAAGGAAAATGATTTGAAAATAAATAAATCTTTTTAAAAATCTGTATAAACTGATCTTGCATGTGATAACCAATTATACATCTTTAACGAGTATTAAATAATTGACAAACATGAAAAAGATAATTATCAGAAAGTTTGTATAAAATTTGGTGTGAATTGTCGATACAACATACTAACTCGTTATAGATCACTACCAAGTTTCTAAAATACCATAAGGTCTGCTGTCTATTCTAAGATCCCCACAACCTTGTTAGATGTCAAGAAGTAGCATGTGCCTTGCCTTGATAAGAATGCCGATCCTAATGAGACTTTTGACGAATAATTGAAAATGTCCAAGATTTCGGCCCTCAAGGAGAGAATAGCACCACGCAATTGTGTTACTTAGCATATCAAGCCTAAACATTTTAAGACATAAAATAACCTTTTGGTTTTGAACGAATTGTCCAATCCTGATTAAAGTCAAAACTACAGGCAAAATGCAGGCACTAGAATCTACATATTATTATTTACTTGTATTATTAGTTTCTTATTGGTCTATGGCACAGTACATAATGCAGTAACGGAGGAAATTGTTTTCAAAATCCCAGGGTATGATTGTCTTTATATTTTGATAATCTGAGAGTGGAGGAATTTCATCCCGCAACCCTGCCATTGGAATCAAATGTAATTTTTATCCCTTCTCAAAATCTCAAGCATTGCTTCTTCTTTCCATAAAAAAATAAAAAAACACCTCAGTCATTGCTCTCTTCCGAAATGAGCCGATAACAATGGGCCGCAAAACAATAGTTAAGTGGGCATGAAACCAAGAGGTTTATGCCCATGATCATTTATAGATAGCAACTAGTATTGTGTGCTTATAGCCTAGCCCAAATTTTCATCTCACCGCCTCGCAGTGGGGCAGAAACTTCTATCCATATCGGCTCCCGTCGGTTGCCTCCAAGTCTATCCCAAGCAAGACACTTCCTTGACATACGAAAATACGAGAATTGGTATCTGGCGATGCCTTTATCAGTACCGTCTCATCTGATGTAGGGGCTTCGGGAGAAGAAGTAGGGTTATAAAATACTTTGGAGAAGTGTCCCTGTTGGACCAAATTTCAATTTTCTGAACCAGTTTCCCGGAATTGATTTTTGAGCGAGCAAGGATTTGGGCTTCATCCTTGGCTATTGGACGGACCTAAGGGAGCCATGGACAGGCTAGAAATAGAATCTAATCGCATTCCCGGCCATTCACATGCCATTCTGTTTGTGAACAGTTGAACTTGCTGGATTAATATTAGCGAAACCTCCCGCTGAAAAAGAATTAGTGAAAACTTTTAAATTCCAGTCAGATTACATTGAAAACTTTTGTTCAAAAAATAAGCTAACCGATACACATTATCTTCGAGGAAGTTAATAATGAAATACAACGAAGCCAGACAGGGATGAGTTTATTTGAATCTGTGTACATGTTTTTGCCACATGGCACAGAGATATTGGACCCTTTAGTTTAAGACAATTTTTGAACGTATTTTTTTGAAGTTACGTGTATCAAAATTTCCTTGACCACACTCCATATTTGATTATATACATCAAACATGGCACGGCTCGTCGTGTTGAGGACCACGGACTTTTTAAATGGGTACTGTTATCGCTCCTTTTCTTCCATACCAGAACTGGGGATTTGAAAACCTAATCAAAACCTGACAATTCATCCACTGAACTTGGGGACGAAAAGCTACGTGACAGCTTTTTGTGGAGCTGACGTCAATAAAAATTGATTTTCTCCTTCAATAAGACTCGAGGATAAAGATTAATCAACGAGTGGGGATACAAACATAGCTATTTTACGGAAAAACTTCATAATAAGTATATTAATTTTGATTTTTTTTCTCAATAGTTTGCGTCAATTTTTATTTTTTTTATTTCAGAATATTAATTTTCAAAAAATTTCAATTAAGTATTTTTTGTATAATTTTTTATATAATAATGATGTGATAATTAACAGAAAAAATTAAATAACTATATTATTTTTTTCTTCTCTTAAATTATTATTATTATTTAATTATTAATTAAAAAATAAAATATTTAATTATTAATTAAAAAAGAATTAGCCGTTTTGTCTTTTTTAATTAACAATTAGTTGTTTTGTCTTTTTTTTTAATTAATAGTTAAACAATAATATCAACTTCAGAGGTGAGAAGAAAAAAAACATAGTTATTTAGTATTCTCTATTAATTGTCACATCATTATTATATAAAAAATTGGATGAAAAAACTTAATTGGTATTTAAAAAAATGTATTGAAATGAAAAAAAAATTAATATACTCGATTGAAAAAAATCAAAATTAATATACTTATTATATATTTTCCCCCTAATTTATTGTCATCTACGACTGGCATGGCAAATTAAAGCACCCTAACAGTTATTTCATTATTCTATATTTAACTTGTAGATGGCATTCGCAGGGTTGGAAGATCAGATTATATAATACAAACGTCAAATTATTTATAATTATGGATACAATGATGAATATTAAGTTAATCATTATTGAAACATGGATATTAGCTTACATAATTAACATCTATTATCTTAAATATTTTTTGTTCGTGCTCTTCAAGAGTACGATAGTAATGGATCGACTTGGTATTAAATTTAGCTCCATCTGTCTCCAATATGAAATATCCAAATCCGTTACTTGTGTCTGCCTCAAATCCGTTCGTAGGAAGTCAAAGAGAGAACGTTTTTCCAGTAGATGGGTTACGTGGGCACCAATATGAGTTTTATTTTTTAAAAATTAAATTTATAAAACTAAAATATATGTTTAAAAAACAAACTACATCTCAATCCATGATAATAAAATCATAAAATATAATTTAAACTTAAAATCTATGCATAAAACCATAAAAATCTTCTATGAATCATTAGATTAAAAATCAATGCATCACATTAAAAAATAAAATTATAATTTCACAAAAAATAAAATAAAATTAAAAAGATCAGGCATAAATCCGATAAGATAAGGGATCTTAATGTGGTTAAACTAGATAAGATTTTCCCATCTATGATTTGATTTTTCATCTATTGTTCGACTTAGTTAAACTAGATAATAATTTGATCCAGTTTGATCAGATGACACTAGATACGTAACATATTGAGTGAAATTATCATCTCTATTAAATAAATATATAAATAATTTAAAGTTGCTTGTGAGGGTATTGAAATATATAACTGTTTTTTTTTCATATATTGAAATATACAAATAAAAAAATGCACATCCCTTGACTTACATCTTTAAGAATTCAAATATTTTTATGTTTTTACCAATAAAGGACTTAATTGAAAATATTATGAGGGTATAAAAAAAACCAATCCAGTTCATGTCCGATAAATAAAATTTTTCATAACTTAAGGAACCCTGATATTGGTTAACCTAGTATTTGTTATATTTTCGTTGCTTCTTTGCTCAATTTACACGGTACAAAACTATCTAATATACATACTAATTTAAAATTTATGATAATTTAAGATTAAGTAACACTCTCCAACACACATTTTTTAAGTATTCTAAAAATAAATTTTTAAAATGCTACTTATAGAAGAATTGAATTTTTAAGCTATTTGAAGTTTGATTACTAACCGATTACATTTTATTACTGAACTGTCAACCAACTAGAATTTGCTGACGCAGCTATATATTAATCAATTTTATCAACAGAATTTTATTTCTATTGCGCTATTGCCAACCGAAACCGTAATAGCTAAAACGATACGAAAAAGACCTTGTAGTGTCTTGTTTCATCTGGAAACATTTTATGGCTGCATCCAGAGCAACGTCAGGCTTATCAAGGCCATCCATTTTTAAGGGAGGCAATGGACATGCGGCAGCGAACGAAGTCACACTTGCTGGATGGTGCAATTGGGAACATAGTTCGGTGTGCGACAGTATTTGCGGATCCGGAGATGAACATGGAGTTGCATGAATTAGCCAAGATATTAACTGAAGGTATCGCAAAAGTGAACGATGATTACTCGAAAAGTCTGCAGGGTGATGAAGGATTTCAAGGCATTTCAAAAGGCCTAGACCAGCTAGAAGAGATGCTGAATATGAAAACATTAGATAGGCTTTCCATCACAAGTTAGAAACTGGAACTGGTCTTGACAATCTTAACTTTGGAGCCGGGTTTCCTGTTTGGCTTGTTGCTTTCGGGAAAGCTGGTTCTGCATTTATGAATTTCATTGAATTGATTGAGACAGTAGGGAGTAAAGAAATTGAGGCATGGATGACCTTTGATGAAAAAAATAATGGCAGTATTGGAGAATGATCCTGAATTCCTAGAACATACCACCCCAAACCCCAACATCACGACAAGCCTGAAACTTTCCTCCAAAATCTGAGTGTTAAATTGATTGCCAATGGAAAAACGTCTTATATATTATGCATATGCAATAGGATGTTATTCTTGCAAAGTGTTGATCAGTAAGGAAAATTACTACTAATTGTATTCTACTCTAATGTAAAAGGTGATGGAATTAAACACAAAATTTAACAACCATCCATTAAAATTTAAATCAGCATCACTTAGTTCAAGTTATATCGCTTCCATCAAGTATCAATTACAACAAACTTGAAAAAAAAATGCAGCCAACAAATGAAACGGTAGTCTATCTAGCCCAATGTTAACCTAATAAGCAATGATCATGCTCTTTGTTTTAGATATTAATATAAATTATGTTTTAAAATCTCATCCGAAATTTAAGTTTTTCAGTTGAAATAGTTTTTTGATATGACATGAGAATTTTATTAATAAAAAAATATTAGATAATAATATAAATCATATTTTAACAACTCATCCAAAAACTTAAAAAGCTTAAGTTTTTGGATTAAATGTCTTTGGAGACTCTTAAAAATTTTCGAAACTATTACGTTATCATTTTTCTAATTTAGTATTGTTTTTATTTTCTTTTTGAAATATTTGACTCCTTTAATGCTTCAAGGCTAGCTCTTCCTCCATCGGCCAGAATGCTTCTCAAGATATATAAAACATATATGTGTTACTAATTTTAAAGATTTATCAGCAGGAGTTCGAAAAATGCAGATATGGAGTTTATACTTATTATGACACCAAACCATTTTATGCCAACCCATTATCCATTCGGAGGTGAGGTCAGGCAGTGCAAACTGAGTTCGATTTTCTGAATCCACTCTGGTTGTTTGGGTGAAGATTGGCCTTTACCACCATACAGCGAAAACTTGTGTTGCCACTGTATGCAATTACAGTTTTGGCCTACAGCAGCAAAAATAATGATGTTGTCGCTACTTCTAGCGTCCCATTGGGCCTAGTAGGCTGTGTGGATGGGTTAAAATCCTACAGCCCATGGGCTTTGATGCCTATTTGTGTTTGCAGTTCCCACGGTACGTTGAGGGAAACCATTTTCTTCCCACATGCTGCAGCAAACGCGCGCACAGGTATCCCCTATGAAGTTTCTCTTGACGAAAAGGAGACTGTGAATCCAAGATGTTTCATTTTTCTTTAAAGATAAACCATGAAATGACTTGTTATCTCAATCTATGTACTTGTTTCATCCCCCATAGTTCATCAAAATATATCTTTTCAGATTAGCATCAATTAACAAAAATGAGTTTTCAACTCCATTCCCTGCCCCTCTTGTTTTACTGTTACCAAAATGTTCTGGCCATCCTCCATACTGACCATACATGGCATGCTTCGCTATACCTCTCTCCTTGAGATAATTCATGCATTCAACTGGACCATATATAGGCATTTCATTGGACTGATACTTCTCCTTTTCACTACCATAACAAAAACACAATTAGAGTATGACATAATCGAGTTAAAACAAGGAAAAAATCAACTGATTTGCACGACTGTGGGGTTCAAAAAGTAGCTAACAATTTATCACCATTTACAAGGCGACAAACGGAGCACTCCACGGGGAGCTTGACTTAGATTTAGATTTTTGGAAGGGTAATTATAACAGCTACTCTTATTCATTTATTTCATTAAAAAATATATATATTCCAAATTCCTTTCCATGTATATTCAAAATAGTTCTAGACGTAGAAATGCTCAGAGCCACAAGCATCAATTTCATGTTGCAAACTATAAGCACAAACTTCTTTATTTTTTTCAAACTGCTAACATCAAATTTTTTTCATATTCTAAAACATTAACATCAAATTTTTTATGTTCTAAAGCATTAATTTCAACTTTTCGTTCTCTACACCGCTACAATCAACTACTTTATATTAAAATCTTGGACGCTTAAAAGGTTTTTCTTGAGGAGAATTTTCAATTCGTTCACTTTCATTATTATAATTAAGGTTTCTTTTGAAAAATACATCAATTGTCTTTAATTTCTTCATAATGAATTGATGAATTCCAAAAACAATCAAACAAAACCAAAGATGTTATAGCTCGAGTGGTAGTAATCTCGTGCAATAAAAAATTATGGATTTAAATCTTAACAAATTAGTTATACTATGAGCCTTGGGTGTGTGGATTGAAAAAAAAAGAAAAGAAAAGAAACCAATCAAACAAATTAATAATGCTAAATTTTATATTACGAAAAAAAATTTAAATTTATGCAAATAAACTCAATTTTTATCTTTAATATTATTATCATAACAATAACCAATTTTCACTTATCAATTTAAATATTAAGTATACCTATTTTAATTCTATGCATAAAAAATAATTCATTATAATTAACCTTTTATTAGAAGACAATAAATCATCATACAAGTCATAAATAATATAATTTTATTTTTAATTAAAATTCTAAAATATAAACATTAAACTATAACAATTATAAGCATTAAAATATAATTCATTGTGTTTAATCACTAATCCATATCCAATAAAGCACAACATAAAAGAAAAACAAATAAAATATTAAAAATATCATTCCAAAAAAAATTCTATATAAATTCAGAATTACAAAAAAAAAGCATCGTTTTGATAAATTTTGTACTTTTGTAATAATTGTTCGTTGATGATCATACAATTTAGCATCTAAAGAGAATAAACTCCAAAAAAATTAATATTATTATTTATTCATTTTGACTTGGTGGTAATGGAATTGTATGAAGAATAAATTAAAGGAAAAAACAAAGAAGAAGATGACGGGAGCATTGAAGAACAGGAAGAAAAAAGAAGCGAAAAATAATTTTAGCGAAGGAAGATATTATTGTGCGCTCTAGTGTAGGTTCAGTTTTGGTAATCAAAAAAGTTTTGAAGAGCCAATCGCTAAATTTCTCATGTTTTTTTATACTAACATATTAATAATATGTTACTTGGGGTGATGGCCCACCGTAACTGTCCCTTCTCTTGCAACTGAAAAGACCTCTAATGGCCTTCCACCATACATTAAAAAAAAAAAAAAAAAACTAACGTAAAATGATGATTTATTATTCATTTAATATTTAAAATACTATTCACATGAACTCATTTTATTATTCATATAGATTTAGATTTAGATATACTTTTCCTTTCGTTGTGTAATCGCATTTTTGTAACTTCAAAATATTTTTATGATATTTATTATGAAAGTTTTGGTAACATTATATTTTGATTCTTATTTTTTTAATATTATTTTTTTAATCGATAAATATTTTTTATTTGAGTTTAAGTCCTTTTTTTGTTTTATTTTAGTCACTTTGATCCTTTTTTTTTGTCTTTTAATCAAATTAATTAGTCTTTTTTTTCTTTGATTTTCGAATAAAAAATTTTAAGGCAAAAAAAATATTTTAAAAAATTACAAAATAAGTTTTTAGTTAAGAATCCATTGGTTGTGACATTTTTATACTATTAAACAATTTTTTTGATAAAAAATTTATGAAAAATATAAAAAATAATCGGTCAAATATAAAATTTTGATTAAAAATTATAAAATAGAATAAATTTTTATTTATTTTTGGTTTGATGTATTTTTGTAAATGCACAATATAACACAAGACATCAAAATATAATAATTTTTAAAAAATAATTTTATATGTTTTATCTGATCGTAGCGTGATTTGTAGCGTAAGTTCGTAAAAAAATCTAATATGTTACTGCACAAAAACTTCAGCAAGCGCATAACCCAGACGACCAATAACTTCTTGTTACAAAGCAATTGTCTCCAAAATGATGAAGATAAAAGTCGATATCATTTCCAGAGAAACCATCAAACCATCTTCACCAACAATTCATCACCTACAACCCTATAAGCTCTGCCTCTTGGATCAGCTCACCTCCATTACTAATGCTGCACTTACCATTTTCTACTCCAAGACTGAATGAAGCCAATAATTTTGACATCTTCAAAACCTTAGTCCACCTAAGGACTTCCCTCTCAGTAACGCTTGATCTCCTCTATCCATTTTCTGGTAGGTTGAGACATAACTTCTACATCGACCGCTTTGATGAAGGTGTGCCATTTGTGGAAGCCCAAGTCAACTGTGCAATGTCTGAATTTTTTGAACATCCAGAAAACGAGTCGTTGAGCAAATTGCTTCCGTGTTGTCCTTTCTCCAAGGAACCAGGGGATGAGGCATCCCTAATATCTTTTCATGTGAACTTATATTCATGTGGCAGAATGGTAACTGGTGGGTGCATATCTCACCAATTTCATTTTCCGGGAATGTGGGCTGCGATTACCCGCGGGGCACAAAATAACAGAGTCCACCCAGATTTTGCCAGGGCTTCGTCCATCTTTCCATCAATAGATCCTTAATCCTTTCCCTAAAAAATATGTTTCTACAGTTGAAAGATTGTGCAAGCGCGTTACAAGAAGATTTTTGTATTATTACAAATCACTCGGTGAGGCTGCACCATGCCGGCTGTAGTGCTGTCTTATTTCATCTGGAAACATTTTATGGCTGCATCTTTAGCTGCTACAGACTCCTCAAGGCCATCATCCATTTTTAGGGATGGCAATGGGGCAGGGCGGGGCGGGGATCGCCATCCCCATCCCTGCTCTGTGCTCTGTTCGGGGCGAAATTTGACTCCTCATCCCTGCCCCGCCAAAAAATAAAAAAACCCCATTCCCGTCCCTTGCTCCGTTCGGGGTAAAATTTCACTCTACATCTCCATCCCAAACGGAGCAGGGCTGGACGGGTTGGATTGTCGTCCCTATCCATTTTATGACAAAAAATGAGCAAGCAGCAGCAGACGAAGTCCTGCTTGTTGGAAGGTGCTTTCGGCAACATAGTTTGCTGTGCTACCGTGTTTGGTAATGCGGAGATGGACATAGGGTTGCATGAATTGACCAACATATTAAGCGAAGCAATTGCGAAACTTGACGTTGGTTACCTGAAAAGTCTACAAGGAGAAGAAGGAATTCAGGGTATTTCAAAAAGCGTAGAAATGCAAGAAGAAATGCTTAGCGAGGATCAATTAGATAGGCTCTCAATCACAAGTTGGACTAATATTGGTGGTGTTGATGATGTCAGTCTTGGATATCTGGAGCCTGTTTGGATTGGGGCTTTGGGACAGCTGGTGCTGCGTTGATGAATTTGACTATTTTGATTGAAGCAGAGGGGAGTAGAGGAATTGAAGCATAGATCACTTTAGATGAAAAAACAATGGTTATATTGGAGAATGTTCCTGGATTCCTTACAAGCAGCCAGCAAATAGATTGATTATCGACCATGCAAGGGTAAAACGACAGCGGATCTAAGAAAATAATTGATGTTCATCTTATACAAAGGTAACGCTGAAAAAAAAAGGGGGGTGGGTGGGGGGAATGCTCTCAGGCAAGCCTGACAACGCATTGGTCTCCGTTATCTTAGTTTCCATGTTTGTGTGTGAAATATGTAGTCAGATTCGAATGTTTCTTGTCCAAAATACAGAAAGAAGTTTCAACTCCATTTTCATACAAGACACAGTTCACCAATGACCAACCGTAAAGATCAAAATCATTCTCTAATCTTACACCCTAGTTATCACAAAGTAGAAGAATGATCCTCATTACTGACAGTGACATCTCAAAAAGGAAGCAGCAACACCATTGATCGTATTTCTATGATTGATTTGCTGTAACAAAACAATCAAACAATCAGTGAAACTCTGAATGGTAGAGTCTGAGTGCAGTTGGCGAATTTTATCATAGAAAGAAATGCTAATTCAGCAGTATGAAAAACAAGATGGGCATCTAATAAAAGTAATGCTCACACTCCAGATGACTGGCTTTCTTGTAGTTACCGTTGCTTCTATGTGATTTGATCAGTTTCCAATTGCGTTAGTTGTAATGAATGTTATTTTGTGCAAATGTTACTTATAAGACATTTTATAAATAAGCAATAGTCATTTGGTATGTTTAAAGAAAGACTTCATTCTCTGTCCTCATATCTTAGTTGCACAAGTCATCAAGCAGAGCCTTTACCTTATTCATCTGCAACTTTATACAAATGAAAAGAAAAATCAAATTTCTCCCATATTCCCTAAAAGCATTAGAAGCCCTAAAAAAAAAAATTCCACACGCACAAACACACCCACAAATTTTCATGGCTGACTCACAGAAGTTATTTAACCTATTGTTTATCAGAAGCACAGGAAGACTTCAAAGGCAGTTTGGTCCCATTCACAAAAAGTTTTTTAAGGCACAAGGTGTTCAGTTCCTGCTTAGATATTAATCAAGGTTTCCACAACGTCAGAACCAGGCAACTCACATGGTTAAAAACTAGGACTCTGGCAATTCTTCCAGTCAGAGTAGATTAAAAATAAGCACGAAGTACCAAGCTAGATTCTTGCTTCTGTTCATATTCAGTTTTCTACCCAAACAACTCTACTGTTTCCCATGCTCAAAATTTAAGGTTTTTTTTTTAAAAAAAAAGATGATGAAACGATAAATCTAGAAATCAGTTTGAGGATATAACTTAAGACTTCATTATTAGACTCTGTGCATGAGTGACAATCAATTAATAAAATACGTCAACAAACAATGCAAGTAGATTCACAGGAACTCATGCAAGAATTTTATATCTGTATTGCAACTACAATATCTTTTCATGCTAGTAATATGAGACCAACAATGTCGAATTTTCTTATGCCAAGTGTGTTCAAATGCAGAAGCAAAAAACAGTTCACAACGGATAAGAATTACCAGCAACCATGACATTCAATCCTCAATTCACACCCACCAAATCAAGTAGTAGCAACATCCAATTCGTGCACCTCCTTGTGCTTCAAGTATTGATGCAAAATAGTAAGTCTTGCCGTCTCAAATGCAAAGTATCCCAAAGCCGAAAAGCAAGCACTATGAACCACTCTAGGGCCCATTCCTCTGGTAAATCCCACCCACCCTTCCTCCTTCAAAATCTGCTTCACTGTCGCCGAAACACCACTATACATTACAGCTGCAGTCTTATCCACAACCTCCTTATTCAATTGGGTCATCAACCTAGTCTTAACCACATCAAGTGGTGTGGTTAAAGACGCTGAAATAGCCCCGGCCAAAGCCCCACAACACACACTCTCAATTGGCAGCAAATTACCTTTTTTAGTCCTACTCAAAACAGCAGCCTTTAAATACTCAAATGAAGAATAACTCAACACGCCAGCAGGCAAATTCCTTAACAAAGTAGCAGAATACCCTGCATAAAGACCCAAGATACCATCTTTCTCCAAAATTCTCAGCAAAACTTCCCAGGATCTTCCCTTTGCACCTGCTTGCATTTGCTGTGTGATTAATTCTTTTGGCACCATAATTGCTGATGATACAATATTGCCCATGGCGCCAGCAGTTGGAGGGATAAGCACAGATGGGTAATTCTCAAATTTTGACAAAATTGACTTACCAAACTCACAAGTACCAAAATACACAGCTGAAGATGCAGTAGAACCCACAATAACAGCAGATACACCACTATAAAACCCCAAAATCCCTTTCTCTTGAAAGGTCTTAACCACAGCATCAAGTGTACTTTTATAAATCTGCGACGCACCCTTTGTTTGCAACTTAGTTTTAATTGTATCAAGTGGGTGCAGACACACATAAGTAAATGCACCAGCTATGCCACCACCCCCTGCTCCTATAAGAGCTCTCTCAAAAACTGAGAGGTTTTTCATCAAAGATTGGACTCTGGGGCTGTTTCTTGAGGAGGGTTGGAGCCATTTTGGGCTTTTTGGTGTGGAGGTTTGGGAATTTAAGGAGATGGAGTTTGAGGCAAATGGGAGGGCGGCTTTTTCTGGGTTTTGAATGGATAACAGAGAGGAGAAGTGAGCGAAGAGATTAGTGAAGTCAGTTTGGATTGTTGGGTTGTGGTGACTTTGAGAGTTACGCGATGGGAGGCCTAGAGATGTACACAGATTTGCCTCCATTTCTGTATAAAAAAAAACTTCTTTTGCTACCTACCTGGCTACCTCTCATCTTCTTTCAAGGGTTTTTGGAGGCTGGCATTTTACATTAGAGACAACAAACGGTGCCGTAGGAACAAGGTATACATGCCCCAACTACTCTTCAAAAGATGGCCTTTTTACCACCTGCTTATTTTAAGCCCAAAGTATCACTTGCAAGCAAGCTCAAGATAACAAAAGAGACTACAAGACCAAAGACTAAACCCAAAGCCCACTCTTTACATACATCTTGAACCGTTACTAACTGCAGGTTTTTTTTATCTTTTCCCTCCAGATTCTCTCTGGTCAAGGGAAACAAGATCTATCAAGCAAATGTTACATATCAAACCACCAAATAAGCAAGAAAGACTCAGTTTTGGATTCTCAAAACTTCTGTTTCTTACAAGAGAAACTTCTATATATCCAGCTATCAGATAATCGCATTCTTTCTTTATATATATATGTTATTTCTCAATGCGTTCCTTTTCTTTTCTTCTTTTCTTGGTCTGCTTCTGTCTCTTATTTGACTTCAATTTTCCCTCTTTCTTGCCTGCAAGCAATGTTAGTCTCTATGGTGATGCACGTCTTAGAAACAATGCCATTAGTCTCACTCAACAGCACAACTGCCCTGCCTCCTCATCTTCTAGCGGGGTTGGGAAAGCACTCTACCTGTACCCAATTAGGTTTCTTGATCATATAACAAACAAAACTGCGTCTTTCTTTTGCCGATTCTCATTCTCCATTATTCGATCCCCTTTGTGTTCTTTTGGTGATGGTATAGCCTTCTTGATTACCTCTAATGCTGATTCTTTGAGTCTCTCAAAAGGGTACATGGGCCTTCCAGGACCAGCCTTAAACCCTCAAGATTCATTCATTGCTGTAGAATTTGATACAAGTTCTGATCCTTCGCTTGGTGATATAAGTAGTAATCATATTGGAATTGATGTTAACACTGTTGTGTCTTTTGCTGCAATTGATGCTGTGTCAGTAGGGATTGATCTTAAAAGTGGGAGGCAGATCACAGCTTGGATTGAGTACTCAGATTCATCCAAGTTGATTCAGGTTTGGGTCAGTTACATACAAATTAGGCCACCAAGTCCTATTCTTGTGGCTCAGGTTGATCTCTCTGAGCATTTCAAGGAGTATATGCATGTAGGTTTCTCTGCTTCTAATGGTCAGGGCTCAGCAGTTCACATTGTTGATCATTGGCGGTTCAAAACTTATGCGACTCTCTCGTCTGTGACACCTAAAGATGTAAGTGAAAAGGGGGATTGTTTAATGTGTTATCCAGAGAATCCAATGAACAATTACAGGCCTGGTACTCATAATGGAAGAAGAAAAAGTGTAGTGGAAATGGCTCTGGGACTAGGAGGTTTGGCTGCATTTGTTGTCTCCATAATTGTAATTCTTTTTGTTATCGTTTTCTTAGTGATCAAGAAAAAGAGGGGTATTGGCAGAAGAGCGAAAGAAAGCCGAATTAATAGAGTACCAAGAAGGTTGTCAATTGCTGAGATTAGGTCAGCTACAATGGGGTTTCATCGCAGCAGAATTATTGGTCAAGGTGCTTCTGCTACGGTTTTTAAAGGGTATCTGCCCTCTTGTGGATCAGTGGCGGTTAAGAGGTTTGATCAGGCAGGGATTGAATGTGCTCGCAATCCTTTCATCACCGAGTTTGCAACAATGGTAGGTTGCTTAAGACATGAGAACTTGGTTCAGCTTCAAGGATGGTGTTGTGAGGGAACGGTACTAGCTCTTCTCTATGAATACTTGCCCAATGGTAGCCTTGACAAAGTCCTTCACAAGAACTCCAGCTCTGCAATTTTTCTCTCGTGGAAGCAAAGAATTAATATAGTCCTTGGAGTTGCTTCTGCTCTTTCATATCTACATGAAGAATGCGAGAGACAGATAATTCATAGAGATGTGAAAGCTTGCAATATAATGCTTGACGCAGAATTCAATGCCAAGCTTGGAGATTTTGGTTTAGCAGAAGTCTATGAACATAGTTCTGCGATGAGAGCAGCTACTATACCAGCTGGGACAATGGGATATCTTGCTCCTGAGTATGTTTTTTATGGTGTTCCATCGGTGAAATCTGATGTTTACAGCTTTGGCGTGGTGATGCTGGAAGTAGTCACGGGAAAAAGACCTGTTGATGACGATGGTGCAGTGCTGGTTGATCGAGTATGGGGCTTCTGGGAGAAAGGGAAACTGATAGAGGCAGCTGATTCAGAGTTGGTAGGGCTGTTTAATACACTTGAAGTGGAGAGGGTGCTCATGGTGGGACTTTCTTGCGTGCACCCAAATCATGAGAAGAGGCCAACAGTTAATGAGGCTGCTAGGATTCTTAGAGGGGAAGCGCCACTTCCTATTTTGCCACAGAGGAAACCAGCAGTTGTGTTTCAATCTGTTTCGTCAGCTGATTCTGATGAAACATTGAATTTATCAGGAGATAACAGTCCATGTACTGATGATGTAACATGGGTAACACCTAGGACCGATTTTGGATAGGACAAGCTCAGCAAGCATCATAATTGAAATGTATGTGTACGAAAAATCAATTGCAGTTTTAGTTCTTCTGTTTTTTTTTATAATTTGCATGTTCCTGCTAATTGATATGGTTTGTCAAGTTTGTGACTCTTAGATCTCTAGTCTATATTCTATGCCAAGATGTTCAAAAACTTAAAATGCCGCATTAAGTGTAAATATGAGAAAAACAAGGACCTGAATTTAATGATGACTTCTTAACTATTCCTGAAAGGGGAAGGATAATTGAGTGCCTAGTTTTTGGATATCATGACTTCACAAGTTACTCGAAATAATTCTATCGCTATGGGAATTCTCAATTTTGAAGGCATTATATATAATTTCAATGATGATGTGCCTTTGCTGGACAGGATAAATCTGCATTTTCAGTGCCATGAAGCACTGAATAAACCTATCCCAATTGCTGGGAACTGGGATGTACATTTATTCGATCGGTCTGCATAAGTCTTTTGCAAGGCCATGGATTTTGTCGATGTAACCTGATCAAGTAGTTGAACAGAAAAGTCATTCTAAATTACTCTGAGTCGGGTCTCTCAATTCAATCCTTGAATAGCAGGTTGCATCTTCACAAAGAGGAACGACATTAAATAAGAGCAGACTGCGGTACTAGCAGGCATAATAAACATGCTAAAACCACCTTATCATAATTTCAGTTTGATATGTTTTGTCATTTCCTCCTTGCATGGATTTTGGAATGAGCATCATCGATGTAATAAACCACAATGGTGCACGGTGGCAATCTCAACCGGAGGCTTGACAATCATCTGGAAAATATGCTTTGAAAATCACCTTCAGGCTTCATCTCAGCCATGGAAAGGCTGCTGAAATCACATTCTTTTGTATCGGGGTTTTGATACATTGACGAGTCTGTTGAAATCACCTCCTTTTGTGTCAGAAACATCATCCCGGGCCAGTCATCAATAAACAGGTTTCTGAATTTCCTTAGTAATATTGTATCAGGAATATTTCCCTCCTTGTATAGCAATACAACAAATGCTTGACAATCCTTGAAATCAATGAAGTTGGTGTGTAGGCACGGCAGACAGAAAACACTTTCTTTTTTTTTCCAATGAAGTTGTATATTAGGCTTGTAAAAAATCAATTTTTTTCTCGACAGCAAGAACATTTTCTTGTCAACTTACACATTAATTGAAATTAAATCTTTTCTTCGATGATCTTAAAGACATATCCTTCATGTTGGTTTGATGCATTCAAAAAATTTAATAAATTTCTCTAAATACTAGTCTCAAGATTTAAATCTAAAAAATCAAAAAAAGAAGAGAACTTGTTTTATTATCAAGCTAATCATTTTTTTCAAAAGTTATATAAAATCATTATTGAGATTTCACTTAATAGTTTAAATTTTTATATTGAAATATTTTTTGACATGACATTAGAGCTTTAATGATCACACAATCACGATTTTGAATCTCATTATTACATTTTTCTTTTAATTAATTAAGCACAAGGTAGTACAAGTATATACAAATTTGATTTAAAGGAGTATATTAGAAAGTCATATAAAATTATTATTATTAAAGCCTCATCTCTCACCTAATAGTTTAAATTTTTAGGTTTATATGATTTTGTTGACACAAGTTAAAACAAAACTTATATCTACAAAATAGAATCTTGATTACAAGTGATAGGAAATAAAATAATATATATTCAGTATATTTTTTTTATTTCTCACTGCAAGCAATTCTTGCAAAAGTAGTTGAATACGTATGATTTTGAGACGTAAAAATAGTATTTATGTTGGCATATACAGAAAAACTTAGGTTAAATTGTTCAAAAATCCTTAAATTATAAGTCATTTTGATCAACATTCATTGAATTTTATTATTTATTCTTTTTGTGATTTAAACCCTCGTCTATCCTATGTAACTATTTTGGAGTGGATATTAATTTCACAAATTTTTAAAATCTTTGAACAGAAAGCTGGAGATAAAAACTCTCCTTTGTAATTATTCTTTTTTCGAGTTACTGTAAAATTCGATTCTTTTCTTATCCCTACTCTTTCACAAATTATGTATGATTTTTTCAAAATACTTCTAGAACTTTATGACAAACAATAATTTTTTGGTGAATAACGCGTGGCCCAAGTGCACCAATCAAGTCGCAAACATGCCGATAGGTCTGCTCATACTGTTTTCCAAAAACTCACTTTAATTCTCGAAGTTTAGATATGTTTTCATATCAGTCTCTTAAAAGTTAGTATTAGGCCTCCAAAATTTTGGAAGTATTTGACAATATCCCTTAAGTTTCATGACAGTAGAAAACTTGGCCACCCCAACCACTTAGGTCACCCTAACGGTTTCCCCGATAGGGATAAAAACTAGCTGAATGCTTGAGGGTGCCAAAATTTGAATAATTTACATTTTAGTCCCATAATTTTGAAATTTGTTTTAAATATATCTTTTAGGCTAAGGCTTATAAATATAGGAAGTGTACATTTGCACCCAACAAGGCAGAAATCATGTACTCTCTAACTTCCTTTTGTTTTGTTTTTGTTTTTTTTTTTTTTGGTTTTTTCAAGTTTTAGCATTTTTAAATATAAAATTGTAATTCTGCCCCTGATCTCGGAATCAGTTGCAGTCGTGCCCCGATTTTTTATTAGAAATATATAAAATGGGAAAGGAAAAACTTGGTTCGGACTCCTGTCCACAACTATAACCATTGTAAATTTCTATCTTAGAAATTATTTTAAATGAAAAGAAAATCAACCGAACTCGAGCCAAAAAAGTGAGGAGTCTTTTTTCTTCTCTGCGAAGTAGTCGATTTTCTGAGAAATCCTACAACTCTACTTTTGGCTTTCTACGGTATCTCTAGTTGAACGCAGAACTGTGCAACATTGTAAATAAACCAAATAGAACAACACAGTGCCCGAAGTACACAGCACATGTGCATTGTTCTTGAGAGAGAGATAGAGAGAAAGGTGGGCTTTCCTCTTTATTCAAATTGAAACCCTAAATGAATTCACATTGTGGTTTCTTGATCGTTGGGTTCTGCGTTCACTCTCTTCTGAAAATTCGCTGGACTTCTGGTACTCCTTTGACTTTGACTTCAACTTCACCATGGTGAGTTAACCTTTTCCATTTTTTTTTTTTTTTTTTTTTTTTTTTGAATTGGTTATTTGGTTGCTTTTTAAGGTTGAATTTAGTTTTTTTTTTTTTTTGGGTTTTTGTTTTGCTAATTAATTTCGGTTAAAAATTGGGTTATTTGGTCTAGTTAATGTGGATTTTGAATGATTTGATGTTAGGGTTTTCTTTGCTATCGTGAAAGAGTCTTCAACTCACTAAACTGAATACTTTGCTCTTTTTGAATAGCATTAGATAGATCGCATTCAACTATCTTTAATGAATTTTGTGTTTCTTTCTTGCATGTACACACATCGCAATGAAAATTTTATCTTTTTTTTTTTCGTTTGGGAATTGGGAACTCAATGAAAATTTAAAACTTGGTAACTGAGTGAATTACTGCGATTTTGACTAGCTCTTCTTGTTTCAATGATTTCTGTGTTGTTTTAGAAAATGTCATAAGTTTAGTCTGACCAGAAAGATTATGTTTAATTGAAGCTAATTTATTTTTAAGTACCCTCCCCCCCCCCCCCTCTTTTTTTAGTTTTTATTTGTCTTGCGAATTTGCTCATATATTGCTGGTGTTTGTCTTGGGCTTTATCACCCTATTTGTTCTTTTCCTATCACGATTCCTTATTAAAAGAAAAAGGTTTGTCGCAGTGAGATTTGTTTGTGAATCATCTGTTCTCTTTTCTATAAAAATAAAGGGTTGCAGCATGAAAATATTTCATCGCATTTGAGTTCTGTTGAAGGGAAAAATTGAGTTTACTTCGTTTTACTAAATTTGGTGTTTGTTAACCTAAAAAAGGAAAATGATTCACTGCATATCGTTTTCAATTCATTGATGCTTGATTTTTGGTATAGCAGGGCAGCAGGCTGCCAAAAGCAAGCAATGCGATATTGAGGTTCACTTGTCAAAACTTTGCGTATGGACACATGCACTACAATTTTATGGATTGAATTTTTTTATTTTTTATTTTATTTCATTTGTATGAAACCTGTTTTCCAATATTTTGTGGCTGACCAATTATGAGGAGAAGGCATTATAGTATGTCTTGCTTCAGATGTGGCAATCATACAATGAAATGCTGAATAGGATTATGTTTTGCATGCACGTCATGTGTTGCTTCCTAGCTGTTCCGGTTCATTGTAATTAAATTTCAAACTTATGTGAATCTCCCTTTTTAACTGCTTAGCAGTTAGCTAGGGCTAATTCCTAGGAGAGAAGATAACTGGTACTCTTGCTTTCTGCAATCTTGAAATGAGGGATGGGTTTATGATTTCCATACACATCAAATGGCTTGCTTCATGTAGTTTCTAACAACCTTTTGATTAGATTCTGTTCTGTCTTTCTGATAGGTTAGTAGCACTAGTTTGTGACTGATACAGGCCTTGTGCCCCTAAACTTTTTCATTGCACAAATATTCCAGATCCAGAGAAGAAACATTCATTAACTCCATGCATTTGTTGTTGCAGGTAATTGTTTGTCAGAAGTGCGGTGATAGAGGATTTGATGTGGCTTTGATTTATTGTGATGAGTGTCAGGCTTATGCTGTGCATCGGTGAGTATAGCTTTTGTCTGTTTGATTAATTTTTGCAATCTGTTATACTAGTGATGCTAGCTATTTTGGTTTGCATCAACATGAAGAAAATATGTTGTGTTTTTAGGGATGTTGCAAATAAATACAATCACACATAAGCTCAGTTGGTACTTTAGTGGTGGACTGCCATCTCCACTTGGATTATAATTCTATGCATGTGCCTGATAGACTTGTTTTAAACACTACATCAAACTTTAAGTTTTGAATTTTTGTAATGAGATAAAAAATTATTTTGTGGTTGTTGAACTTTTTGCTTTGATTTGCTAGATTGAATTGGCTACTCAGTAGCTTTCCTTTTCATTGACGAAAAGTGAAGTTTCAGATTCTGATTTTTTTTCGTTCTTTTTGTTTTTCAGTTATTGCTTAGATGTATTGCCAGCAACTTTTGATGAATATGTGGTATGGTTATGTTGTCACTGTGAATCAAAGGCTGCAAAATTAACCTCTCTTGACAAACCTAGCTCTCCTATAGGCACAGAAAATGACCCTGAAAGTTTTAAAATTGTCCAACTGAAGAAGAGAAATCCTTTGAACAGACTGGAAGGGAAATCTAAGGGAAAGGTTGTTGATTGCTCATTGACAACCTCAGACTTGCTAAGACCTCAAATCAGCTCTTGCTTTCAACTTGTTGAGGTGCACTGCTGTGAGGATGATGGAAAAGATCAGAAGCTTGGAAGTCAAAAAGGATTGCATGATGACAGTGTTTTTGAAGTTGCTGAATATCTTGAAAGTAGAAAATCTGTATCTGCTCCTCCTGATCATCAACTTGTTGATGTTGATTGCTGTAAGAATGATGAGAAAGATCAGAAGCTTGGAGGGAAAAAAGTTTGGAGGAGTCCAGCTTCCAAGAGACAGAATCTCTTAGAAACAAAAATTCTCAATTGATTATAAGCGATGTTCAGCCCCTTCAGATACATTGCTGTGAGGATGGGGAGAAAAGTCAGAAGGTTGGGAGACAGAATGACTTGAATGGAGGCAGCTTTGTTGAAGAAGATGAATTGGATAAAACTAAAAAATGCCAACGTGGTGCTCCATATTTTGCTGAACAGAGTTCTATTCGTGTGCTACCGATAAGAGATCCTATTTGGAGGTCAGTCTTAATTATTGTATTCCATAACTCATTCTCTCACAACTTTTTTGGTGACTTATTATGTGGTATTAAAAAAAAATCAATTTGATTGTTTGGTTAACAGGGGAAGCATGAGCATTTTCCAAAAAAATTATGGTGCTCCTGGCGGAATTATTGCTCATTTGTCTAGCATTGCATGCTCCAAAGCAAGTGAGGAGGCAAAAGGATTACCTAGATTGCTTTCATCAGAATTGCTTCCTAGATCCATGGCGTGGCCAAAAAGTTTTCAGAAGTTGGGGCCAGCATCTGATCATATAGGTCTCTATTTTTTCCCAGACAATGCAAGGTGTTGGGTCGAACAATTTTACATTAGATTTCTGTTTTGTTTTCATGTTTTGGTTACTTATAAGGATTTCTTTTCTTCACCTTCAGGAATGAAATTGTTTATGATAGCCTTGTAAATGACATGATTAGCCAAGACCTTGCCATGAGAGCTGTGGTTGAAAATGCAGAGCTCTTAATTTACACATCTAGGATACTGCCCACGGATTGTTGGAGTGAGGCTCTCAATTCTTTATCTGTGGAAAAGCTCTGTTGCTTCTGTGTTTTTCAACAATCAGTTTGATCTTTCTTTCTAAATTGATTTGCAGGATTCCAGTCAAAATTCTATCTGTGGGGAGTGTTCAGGCCAAAGAAACCTTTGGCATTGGCAATTGACACTGTTCCTGGAGAGGAACAAGACCTCACAAAGGCCATAAACTGGGAAAGGCGGAGTCCTGTTAGTCCTTTAAGCGATGGAAGTTATGGTTCTGGTTTGATGTGTCCGTCAAAATGACTCTTAATCAGAATTTGTACACTGATTCCTTTTGGGTTTCTTTTTTTATCGACTGAAAGAAAATAGATGGTTAGCTTAGCTCCAAGTCGGGGTAGGGAAAATGGATGTGACACACGTAACATGAAATTGACCCTTGGCCGAGAAAATTCATAGCACCACCTAAAATCTTTTTGCTTTAGAACTGTTACTGAATTGTGACATGTTTTTTTGTTGATGAAAAGGAGTACGGAAATATCAAGATGGTCCTTTGATGATTCTGCAGTTTTCAAGGATTGTTCAAATTTTATATATACTACGACTAACGATAGTATTTAAGAATGCGTTATCATTATAATTGAACGAATTGCTCCTAGTTTTTAAAAAATACTTGTCATCATGTCATTGTCAGTGTACGATGATCTATGCTTGTGTTCTTATTATTTTGTTTTTCAGATAATGGTGTGAGTATTTTTGCATCAATTCTTGCATGATATTGAGTTTTGCTTTAGTTGGATCTAAGATCTAATTAGACCATGCATATTCAAATTCAATTATAAAAAAAAAAGATAATTTTTTTTTAGCCTCTCCTATAAGTTCACTACTATTTTCTTTTGAAGAACAAAATTGCTTCCAATTCAATAAAACATTCATTAAGAAGCATTAATAGTGACTTTTATATTAACAAATGGAAACTGTTCGTCATGTCAGCATATGTGAAACATCGAAATTGGATGCTTTTCGTATTCAACTTGGGTTATTATTGAGTTTGAAAACAAGCTACGGCTTATCATCATAAATAGAAACCACCAAGTAATTTTCCTCCTAAACCTGGGAAACAGTCGAATCCAGGCACTTGTCTAAAAGAAGAGTCGGAGGAATTAATCAGAGGGCTAGCAGTGTTGGTGACGACTGATTTATATATCAGACGAGTCCATTAATCGTATTGATTATGCCTACAAGCCGTATATATGATGGTATGAGCAAGTGAAAATCATATATTACAGTTCAATTACCAAGTCCAATTGACATGTTCTCCTCTGTTACAGTTCTTAATTTGAAATTTAATCTCAAAAGTGTTAATTTTACTCGAATGTTTCCGCTTTTGTCAGGCTGACAAAAGGTCTGAACAATCATGGATTTAATATTAGTCCAGCCTGTTAATGTCATGTCAACCAACTTTTGTTTTCAATAATTACAACTTTCCCAAATTGATTAGTATAATAAAGCTTATCTGAACTTTCATCGACTGATTTTTTTCTTCCTTAACTACTGTTCTTGTTTAACTACTCCCACATAACTTGGCCAATGGTATAAGATAAGTAGCTAAAAGTTTTTAGCTTTAGCCAAGTGGTAGAGCATAAAATTGATTTTTTTGACTTTGCGGCCCCAAAAATAGATTTAAAACTCCAGGTTTAGGGCACTAGTCCTTCTATTATAATCCTCAGCATGAAAGCTTTTGGTATTAGTCAGCTAAGAAGAGTTTGTTTCACATTGGTACACAACGAATTCTGCATCATAAAACATCTTTAAAAAGACAAGGAGGGAAGAGGATGACATGTTTTGTACTTCAATTGACAAGAGTGTTTAATGGCACATTCAAAAAAATTTCGTAGCGACGTCAATTTGTTTAAAAAAAATATTAAAAAACTATGACCGTACCTAAATTAATGTACATTAATCAAATAATTAAAAATTATATACAGTTTAATGGTGATATAAGTTAAAAATATATATATTAATATTATAAATAAATATCATTATTGTTATCCGCTAACCTATAAGTAATGCATGATCCACTAACTTGACTTTGGTACTAAATAAAGGTAATTGACTCTCGCATTTAAAGTAATGAACTCATACTTTTATTTATATTTTTCTTATTTTCTTAACTAATTTAAGCATCAGAATATCTCTTTCTATATGGCAATACCTAACTAGATATGTTTTGCAGATTAATCTTATTTTTATATCAAGTCTATCAAATCTAATCTTTAAACTTAACAATTCCAATAAAATTTGCCACACAATCAACCTATTTTTTTTGACATCAACACATATATTAAATTATTCTGAATCAAATTATTAAACAGTAAAAAATATGTAAAATGAACGAATTGAGAACAAAAATAGTAGAACAAATTATCCACGGTAACTATAATTATTAAAGTTAAAGATAGCATGATAATTTTATTAGTAATGTCACATATTAAAGTAAAATGCAATAGATAAATAAATAAATAGGACATAAAACGTAGAATTAAACTACCGTCTTAAAATAGATCGTGTTGTGCCTATATAAAAATATGAAAAGGTAAAGGTTATAAAAGAATATAAAGTTTGTGATATTAAAAATTGTGCTAGTAAAAATTAGTAATCCTAGGGGAAAAATATTAAAAATGAGAGGAAAAAAAATGAGACACCTGGTAAGATAATACATGAATTTGTAAGGAAAATTTTACACTAATTTTTAGAAAAATTAATTTTTACATTAATTAAATCTTTAGGATTTTTTTTTCTGTGTGGAATAAAACTCTTTAAAAAAAGTTAATTAGTACACGTAATTTACTAAAGAATTAGGAAAAGAGAGGAAATTAATTTTATATGGTGAATTACATTTTGTATTAATTTTAGTGGTGTCAATTAGAAAACGTACTTTAAAAGCAATAAAACTGTAATATATATATTATTACCCTATTCATTAATTTCTTTCTATTCCAATGGTGTCAGTTGACACCATACTCCAAAGCGAAGATGCGCCACTGAAATGTTGGTGTCAGCGCTTGAATCCTCTATTCACAATAACCTTTTTTTCTTCCCTGTCGCTGAGAGGTCTACGGGGACGGCTTGAATTAGATAGTGGAGCTAAATTTTCTTCATCGTATAATTGTTCTAATTGAGAAATTATAAATACTAGAATGGGAATTTTGCTTCAAGAAAAAAGAAAAAAACTATGGGATATACCATTGTTAAGCTAACTTGCTTGTGTGCATGTTAATTACTATATTTAAAATTAATCTTCCAAACCACTTTAGCGATATATAGTAATTTTATCTTTATGAACTCTAGTGCATTCCAGCGTCAAGGTCAACGGTGAGAAGGGTGCGAAGCCGCTGTCCAAGTTGGGTGTGGTTGGATCGTTTTAGCTAGCTCGACTTGAAAATTATTCCCAGTTCATCTAATTTGGTCCAAATGAAAACTCGTTGACAAATGTATCTGTATGTATCCAGCTCGAAGCTTTGACATTTGTTGAAAAGCAATGAGCGGTTTGGTTTGGTTTTGTTTTTCTTTTCAATGCCCATGAAGAAGGGGCAAAAAAAAAAAAAGACGGCTTCCTTAAAGCAAGTTGCATTGCTGAGGGATTTTTTAGTTTAAGATAAACACTCCTTGAGTTAATTACTGTAAGGGTTTTCTTGTCCTAAAGAGGAAAGCAAGACCCAAAGTGTTAAAAATTAAAGTTTTAACTTGAAGTTTACCTTCAAATTTTAAGATAGATATTGAGGTGAGAATTTATGAATTAAGGAAAACTATCTTTTAAATATATTTAGCTAGATTCATTCAACATTCTAATAAGCCAAAACGAAGAAGAAGAAGAAAACCCTCAAAGATCAGGTGCACAAATGTTGGAGAAGCGGCATATATATTACAACAAAAGAGTATCATGCTCTTCCAGGGTTTTATGCTACTCTCCTTTGCATTGGGCTGAAGTAATTACTCGAAAGATCGTTCGAAAGTGAAACCCAATTTGTGCTATGATAAATTCTACAATGCGTTGGATAAATTGAGAGACATTAATCTTCATATGTTTTTTCTTAACGTAATTTATAGAGTTTCCCAAAACTATTTCTATAAATTCTTGAAAATTATACACATTTTACCAAGATCAATGTTCAATTTTCCTCTTTTTTTTTTTTTTTTTTGTGCATTTAACATTGATAGCTTTGAACCATGACCAGAATGTTCTGCGGCCATGGACGGATATTGAACACTGCATAATGGAAAAATAACTTCTCTTGTGAGCAAAACGCTAGGATTTGAAACGTGCCTCTCTTTTTAATGTCACCGCTTTGTCTCATGGTCATGACATTTTATTGTCATGCAAATTAAACCAAAAAATGTGGCAAAATTTTCGAGGAGAAAGGTTTCCTTTACGAGGAGAATTAAGGTTCCAAATGACATAGTCAAAAAGGATGAAATTGGATTTGGTAGAGGAGCTTGACTTGACTTTGGTTCATGTAATAAAAGGACTAAAAATCAACCTTATTTCAATTCTGCCTCTCTGAAACATCTAAAGCGACCCCATTTCCATTTTATTTTTTTTAATAAAAATTGTTGTTGTTCTTGTTTTCTGGATATCAGCCCCCCATGTTTTTATCATAAGAAAATGGAAAGAGGAAGAGCGATAGAATTAGTAAGGTGATTATATCAATGGATTTCTTGCCCATATTAGATGTCCCACCAAATTAATTTTTACCTGAAAAAAACACTGAAATTTTTACCTCCGCTGCTCTGCATGTTCGTCAGCTGCTCGAAGAAAACAAATATTTATTCCATAAATCGAGTAATCTTTTTTTTCTTTTGTGTTTTTTTTTTTGAACATCATAAATAGAGTAATCATGGTAATTAATGAGGATCCATATCAGATACAGAGGCCATGATACCCTCTTGATTTGTCATCAGTGTACTGCTGGTGTTAATTAATGCCTTGCTAATTTGGAGGGTCCAATGCTGCATTGGATTTGTATGGTTTAATGATCTGATTAAATCATTAAAAATTATTTTATTCTTAAATAATTCATTTATTTTAAAAAATATCAACTATTAAATGGAGTATTCATGAGTAGATTTCGTTAATAATTTTTATAAATCTAATAATTGATATCATCAAATAAAAAAATTATTTTATCACAAAACAGTATAATGTTCCTTCAAGTTGCAACTTAGTTTTACTACATGTTATTTTATCTGATGCCAGATCCATATTCATGCCATCCAATTAGGTAGCTTACATGAAAATAATATGTGGATTCATGAATACTTTCTATACTGACAAGCTCAGATATATAAAATATCGCCACATTTCCCACAAAATGCGTCAAACAGAAGTGAACTCAACAAACTGTGGCATTGAAAAAATCAAACATTATGATTGGAAAGAGTATAATATAGACAAAAGAACGTGTGAACAAATGAGAACTGAAAACGTTAATTATTGTTTTAAATGACATGCCAAAGAGTACATGACAAAAAATGGTATCAAAAAAGGGATGAGTCTGATCACAAGATACCTGGCCTAAGTTGTCCCCAATCAAATGTCCCACCAAATTAAAATGTGAATACTGATCACATAAAGCCATTACGAACCCTCCAACTTGCTAACCCACCAAAAAGAAAGATCAGATTTTCCACTGTATCCCCATTTTTCTATCATCAAAAGCAAAATTAATAAAGCTCAAGAAAAAATTACTATAACCTTTCCCCTATATCTATATCTCTCCCTACCTTTATCAAAAGTCAAAGAAATTATTGTAAGGATTGAAATTATTGAAAAGGTCTATGGATGGAGTGTTTGGAGAATTTAAGTGTGGTGAAACGAAGGTGGACGGACTAGGCATGAAAGTACCCTCAATAAAATTCCTGTTACCATGAAGAACAGGGCTAAAATCATGGAAGAAGCTAACCGAGTTTGGATCAGCTAATGCTGGAGAGAAGAAGTTTGGTGGTATTGGCGGAAGTGAAGCTGGGCCAGGAGACAGAATTCCAGGACCCAAACTTGGTCTCTCTATTACTTGATCAATCTCAATTCCTTCAACAAAACCCACATCTCCGCCTAGCTGCTGCTTTTGCTGATCTTTGGGTGACTTGGCCTTCTCCATTGTAGCATACCTTGCCGCTGGCGATATTGCACCACAATCA